CAGCCCGTGTCTGTTTCTGAACTAATAACAAATACCTACTTTGAACCTGGTACGCTGACCAGCCCGTGTCTGTTTCTGAACTAATAACAAATACCTACCTTGAACCTTGTCCGCTGACCAGCCCGTGTCTGTTTCTGAACTAATAACAAATACCTACCTCGAACCTTGTCCACTGACCAGCCCGTGTCTGTTTCTGAACTAATACAAATACCTACCTCGTACGCTGACCAGCCCGTGTCTGTTTCTGAACTAATACAAATACCTACCTTGAACCTGGTCCACTGACCAGCCCGTGTCTGTTTCTGAACTAATAACAAATACCTACCTTGAACCTGGTACGCTGACCAGCCCGTGTCTGTTTCTGAACTGGCATTATCTTCAATACCTCATCTTTCAGTGCAGAGCCCAAGAAAAAGTCAATAATTTCACATTCCTAATAAAAAAAATACACTTTATAGCCAACTGAACTACTCTTCATGATGACGATATTCAACTTACACTACAAATGTTTACTATTTTTGTAATAGCACAAGCTACAGTAGGATATTAAAATCACATTTGTATATTATCAACATTACAGTTATTACCACCGAGATTCTCTAAATATCCTAACTAGAAAATCAATGATTTGAAACAAAGTTTTGGTCATTTCTTTACATTTAGTGGAAGTATTAAATTACTCAAAATAATGAAAGTTATAAAAACAAGGCACTAATTTAAGGGATAATTAAGTTGTTATTTATGGTTTCATGTAGAATGAATTTCACAAATTTAGTGAAAACAAAAACATTTCTAATCAAAATCATTACAAATTACCTGTTCAAATAATTGTTTCGGTAAAGATAAATACAGTCCAAAAGTAAATGAATATATAACCAATATTTATCATAGTTTCTTCCTTTTGGCTGTTAACTTTAAACTCTGTTTTTGCTGTCAAAGAAAAAGAACCATAATATAAAAGTTGTCTTGTTAAATACTAGGTTAGTGTAAGATTGAGCATTTGGTGAACTATAGTCAGTCCAAGAAGAAACTAACAAACTTCTTTCAACTACTATGTTTAATTAGAACAGTCAAACAAAATGCTAAAAGTCAATTAAGTCTATTTGGGTTTTATAATCAGGGGGAAAAATCTATAAAATCTGAATTACAGAATTTTCTTTACATAAATTTGTAGATAAAAACTTAGAAATGCTCAAGTATCACTCATACACGATATACACCGTTAAACTCTCTTTAGTCTCTCTGTTTCACCCAAAAATGAAATACACTGTTAAACTTTCTTTAGTCTCTCTGTTTCACCCAAACATGATATACACTGTTAAACTCTCTTTAGTCTCTCTGTTTCACCCATACATGATATACACTGTTAAACTCTCTTTAGTCTCTCTGTTTCACCCATACATGATATACACTGTTAAACTC